CCACAAGGCAAATACAAATTACCTTGCCTAATCTGCCCTAGCAGCAGGGACAACACCTAAAGGATAAAGCAACCAAAATCACATAATTCACGTACAGCCTGAGTACATAACAAATACCGCACACAAAGGGCAAACAGAAAAGGCATGGGTTAACTAACTAAAATGGTGGGGAATCCCCGAACGGCCGACATATTGAAATTCATAACTACATACAGAAACCAATTACAATATCAATTTAAAAGGGATTAAAATGACCCGACCCGGCCCGGCCCGAGGCTTAAGCCCTGCTTTAGGCCATCCACCTCCATCCACAATGCTTTGAAAGCGACGAGAGCGAATGACGACTGAGTATTTAAGATTTGTTCCCTTGTAAAATTGTGAAATTGCAAATTGTATTTGCCAGAGCCGTGGGCGCAAAACTTTTAAATGAAATTCTAAGCTAGCAGATTTTCATAATAAATAATGGGTCTTTGGCTGGCATTACACGGAGCATAATCGTAATCAAGCATAATGCCATTGTGTAATATATAAAATACTGTACAATGTACGTACATTTATCTCAACAAGTGGCAATCTCGATGGTGACTGTGCCACAAAGTGTGTATTTTTGCATAATTTATCTTGTTTGCTTGTTCAACCAAAGTTGCTAACAGAAAGGGCCGTAATATTTTTTTGTCAAATTTTCTGGGTATCCCCATCGAAAGTCGGAAAACTGCATGGAAGGGCCAGATGGATCACAGCGATGTTCATATCTTTGCCAAAACTCATCCGATTCTCAATCGGAATACCTTAAATGATTTGTAGATCGATTCTCCATCAATCTGCATCAAAATCTAGGAATATTTTTTTTTTTAGATTTTTTGTCAAATTTCCAGGGGGATCCCCTTCAAAAATGATGGAAATGCATGGAGGGCCAATATGAGCCATGGCGAAGCCCATATCTTGGTCAATATCCATCCGATTCTTAAGCGGGATATCTTAAACGATTTGTAGTTCGATTTTCTATCAATCTGCATCAAAATCTGGGAGAAAATTATTTTTTAGATTTTTTGTCAAATTTCCAGGGGGATCCCCTTCAAAAATGATGGAAATGCATGGAGGGCCAATATGAGCCATGGCGAAGCCCATATCTTGGCCAATATCCATCCGATTCTTAAGCGGGATATCTTAAACGATTTGTAGTTCGATTTGCTATCAATCTGCATCAAAATCTGGGAGAAAATTATTTTTTAGATTTTTTATCAAATTTCCAGGGGGATCCCCTTCAAAAATGATGGAAATGCATGGAGGGCCAATATGAGCCATGGCGAAGCCCATATCTTGGCCAATATCCATCCGATTCTTAAGCGGGATACCTTAAACGATTTGTAGATCGATTCGCTATCAATCTGCATCAAAATCTGGGAGAAAATTATTTTTTAGATTTTTTGTCAAATTTCCAGGGGGATCCCCTTCAAAAATGATGGAAATGCATGGAGGGCCAATATGAGCCATGGCGAAGCCTATATCTTGGCCAATATCCATCCGATTCTTAAGCGGGATACCTTAAACGATTTGTAGATCGATTCGCTATCAATCTGCATCAAAATCTGGGAAAAAATTATTTTTTAGATTTTTTGTCAAATTTCCAGGGGGATCCCCTTCAAAAATGATGGAAATGCATGGAGGGCCAATATGAGCCATGGCGAAGCCCATATCTTGGCCAATATCCATCCGATTCTTAAGCGGGATATCTTAAACGATTTGTAGTTCGATTTGCTATCAATCTGCATCAAAATCTGGGAGAAAATTATTTTTTAGATTTTTTGTCAAATTTCCAGGGGGATCCCCTTCAAAAATGATGGAAATGCATGGAGGGCCAATATGAGCCATGGCGAAGCCCATATCTTGGCCAATATCCATCCGATTCTTAAGCGGGATATCTTAAACGATTTGTAGTTCGATTTTCTATCAATCTGCATCAAAATCTGGGAGAAAATTATTTTTTAGATTTTTTGTCAAATTTCCAGGGCGATCCCCTTCAAAAATGATGGAAATGCATGGAGGGCCAATATGAGCCATGGCGAAGCCCATATCTTGGCCAATATCCATCCGATTCTTAAGCGGGATATCTTAAACGATTTGTAGTTCGATTTGCTATCAATCTGCATCAAAATCTGGGAGAAAATTATTTTTTAGATTTTTTATCAAATTTCCAGGGGGATCCCCTTCAAAAATGATGGAAATGCATGGAGGGCCAATATGAGCCATGGCGAAGCCCATATCTTGGCCAATATCCATCCGATTCTTAAGCGGGATATCTTAAACGATTTGTAGTTCGATTTGCTATCAATCTGCATCAAAATCTGGGAGAAAATTATTTTTTAGATTTTTTGTCATATTTCCAGGGGGATCCCCTTCAAAAATGATGGAAATGCATGGAGGGCCAATATGAGCCATGGCGAAGCCCATATCTTGGCGAATATCCATCCGATTCTTAAGCGGGATACCTTCAACGATTTGTAGTTCGATTCGCTATCAATCTGCATCAAAATCTGGGAGAAAATTATTTTTTAGATTTTTTGTCAAATTTTCTGGGGAATCGATCCCCTTTGAAATTTGGGAAACTGCATGGAAGGACCATATGGGTCACAGCGAAGTTAACTATATCCTTCTGTAAATATCATTCATAAAACGGCGAGTTATATTGCCACAAGTAAGATCCTTATTTTCAGAAGAGAGTAATTTACGAAAATAATTAAAGCTTTGTAGAATTTTTTCTTTTTTCCTTGTTTTTCTTATTTTACTCAGACACACATCTTCGACGAGTTCTAACGAGCCGCAAAGCCAGTATTGACGGCCAGGGCTGTTAGTCTGGGCCAGGGTGTAATTTGGCTAAGTAAAGATGCAGATAAAGTGCAGCCTGATGGTCTGCAAATAGACTAAAAAGGTTAACTGGAAGCTGAGAAGCTTGTATGCATACTACTCCCACGCTCCACTAAGCAATTTAATTTGCGAAATCTGCCCACAAAAAAGGGAGCAATATTTCATCGTTTCTTGATTCTTATCAGCACTTTCCTACTTTCGGCCATTTATCCATCGATTCGACCAGCCATCCATCATGTCTATCAATTGCTGGGACTTAGGCGGGAGACAGATAAATCAGTTAAGCATCGTCATGTCAAGTTAACAGGCGATTACAAGGGCTTTACCTGATCGGATTTGTGGCTCGAGACCATTGCGAAAGGTCAAACGCCTTGAGGCGGTGGTCTGGAAAACTTTGTTCCCTTATATTCTTAGCAGTTTATCTTCTTAGCAGTCAAACTATAGTTTAAAACTCTTGCTTGAGAAAATATTTATTATTTTTAGTATATTTTCCATCTTAATTTTAAACGGATGTTTATAACCACAACCAGGATCCTGCACCCTTACCAGTACCAGGACCAATACATCAAATTAACTGGCGATTACAGAGGGCTTAGGGCCAGAAAACAACCGACACGTTCAGACAAATGCGATAACCAATCGAGTGAAGGCGGCGCAACAAGCAAATGACAATTGTAAGGATAACCAGGACAGTGATGGTCAGCACACTCCTTTCCGCAAGTCGGTGAACCATTCCCTTCCTATCCCCTCGATTCACCCGGAAAATCTCCCACAGCTTGTTGATAAAAGAAATGAAACACACAGAATGCAAAGGAAGAAAAACAAAAAATAAAACACGATGGGCTTTAAGGGTGATACGACGTTAGTATGCTCTATAAGATGTGTTAAATAAATTTATACAAAGGACACTAAAGAGGTCTAAAAAAAAGGTATGAAAAACCAAAGCTGAATAGCTTTAAAATTGACAGAAACAAAAGGACATATGGACATTCAGACATCAGAAAGTCCAACACCTAAGGCGATCAAAATTTGTAGCATACTTTTCAGCAAATTAGTTATACCCTCTGCAAGGATATAAAAAGGGAAAACAGAAATGAAAGAAAGTTAAGCCCGCAAGACAATTGCTAATGGCAGGGTAAAAGAGGGGCTTCTGGGGGTGGTGCGAAATGGGTTTCTGGTGGGGCAGTGGCGGTGCCGATGGGAGGTGGCGGGGCTTTTTCTGTGGCACTTGTCTCGACTGTCTCGTTGACATGACGTTGCGCGCCAGGATTGTCTGCTCAGTGTTATGTGTTTTGTGTTCTGTGTTGTGCGTTCTGGGTTTTTTGGTTTCGCTGTCGTCTGCCTACAAAGTGAGCAACACGCGCCGATGATTATGTTGCCGCTGACAACGACAACAACCACAAGGACAGCGAAAACAACAAGTATTGAAGGATTAAATGGGTATGTTGGGAGTGATATGTACCTTGAAAGTTTGGGGTGTTCTGATTAATGGAAAAACATTTTTCATAAAAGTTATTTAAAATTTATATTTAAGGCCAAGAGCAAAGGCTGATTACTTCTGAAGAAAAAAATATAAAAGCAGAGTGAAGGATCTCTATCTTACCAATAAGTTAAGAAACTAGCAAGTTCATATTATTTTTAGACTGTAGATTATAGAGTACTTATACCACACTTTAAATATTAAAACAATCAGTAATTAATATGCAATATCTGATATATAAACCTTATTAAAAATAACCAAATCTATAAATATTTTGGCTATTAAATTTAATGATTGGATTTTGTAATTTTCTCGAATTATTAGGCTACCATTTCCCTAGCTATTATGGTTCTTTATTTGTCCGCAGATACATTATACCCTCCCACACAAAATATACCGCGCACAAAAATAGCAGCAACAGACGACTCCGAAAACAGTCAGCTGCCTTCCCAAAAAAAAAAAAATAAGGACGAAGCAGTTTTCGGAGTCCTGTTGGCGGCAAATGTTTGGTGGCCCGAAGCTTTTCATTGACTAAAAGTGGCGCCTGCGCAGCTGCCAATTCCCACCCGCTGGCCAACAAGCTCGAGACTCCGATTTAGTGGCGAGTTTTGGTCCTTAGATTCAGTTCGTTTTTGTCACTCGTGCGTGCTGGACGTGTTGTGTCAGCGGTGCACATGGCGTATGAGTGATATCGCTCTGAGTACTCTGGGTATTAGACGTTTTATTGGATTTTGGCGCAAGTTGGCAAAAAAAGCCGGTTAAACTTCTTACAAGTGTATCTCTCCCACTTCACAGGCGTGTGTGTTGCCGGAAATACTTTGAGTAATCGAAAGGCAAAAGCGAAAAAAAACGAAAGAAAAATCTAAGGAAATTAACTTGGCACATTCGTTGTATTGCGAGAATTGTTTGAGTGCTATTACAGTGTTTTTTTGTTTTTATTCAGCCCACCTGCCAGCCAAAAAAGTAGGTTAATTGACGTGTGCTCCGGGCGTATCTAAAGGCAAAATAATAAAAATATATGTACAAAAACAAATACAAGGGCCACGGCTAGAAAAAGGGCAGATTGGGTGGTCGATTGGCCGCTTGAATATTTGGTCGAAAGCTGCGGAAACCCACGCTAATTGAGAGGTATGTCCATCATTAAATTTCAAATTTTTATAAAGCTCTACCAATTAAGCAATAAGTTGGTTATTTTTATAATAAATATTATTACGCATTTATCGCTGAATAAACACATCCCAAAAGTTATTGACTTTCGAAGTGCATTATAATTACTTGGCAAAGAAATTAACAGGCTGTGGCTGAAAATATCTATTGTTTTTAGTTGAATAGGTTTTGTGCCGATAATTTATTTTCCTGTTGGATAGTTTTAATTAGTTTCTGATACGAGCCAGAGCCAGATAAAATGTAAATCAACTGACTGACAGCTTTGTTTGGGCTCGTTAGGAGTAGCCTCGTGTTCATTAAAATTATATAAATAGGTTCAGGCTTTTAAGCTTCAACTGCGCTAGACAATGATTTACATAATTGCTAAATATATTAATTGTTGAACTAAATAAGATACTTATCTCTGAGCTGGAGAGCAGCCACAAAGCTTTAATTTATTCTGAATATATTGTGAAATGAGCATAATTAAAACGAAATACTCAGCCTGAAACTGCAGTAATGAAAATCAAAAGCTAGAAATAAAGCAGAATTAACTTCAAACAAATGTTGACCAACCAAATAACCAAAAAAAAGGACAACGAAAAAAATTAAAATAAACAAAGTGAGCAAAGAGGGAAGTGGCTTCATGGGTCGGTTGCGTTTTTGTGCCTTAAAGGCACCGCCGATGCACATATTTATTAATTTTTTTTTTGACGCCACCAACTTGCTCCTTTATGACTATGTATGAATTTGTGTGTGTGTGTGTTTGCTGTGTATGGGTGGGGGTGTGTCAAATTTAAAAGCATTCTTGCTGGTTTGCCTTTGGACGCGAGGACGCCAGGACGATGTCCTGGCAGCTGGCTTTCTCTCTCTTTCTCTGTAAACTGTGTGTTGTGCTTTGTTTTATTATTTTGCGGAAGCTGCGTACCAACATTTATAAAAAGGTTTTTCTTGCTTGCCTGACTACGTGAGCCATACACACACACAAATACACTCACACACAGGCATACTCAACTCCTACACCCGGACGCATATTGCTCTGCATTACCGTTATTTTATGACGGAAGTACATTTAAGCAGATTTTTTTCACAGGACTCCCCTACCATTCTCACATCCATCCTTTCCAGCCAACCGAAAAAAAGGGCTGCCAAATAAAAAAAATTTAAATATTTTCTTTTGCTTTTCGCTGTTCTTTTCATTTGCCCGTCTCGCTAAAATTTATGGCCAACAAAATTGGAATATGCCCCAAAACAACAGACTTTACAAACTTCACTTCGATTCTTCGGCCATAAAACAATTCTAAAGGCCCTGGGACTCTCAACGCCTCCAAGAAAAAGTTGAAAAATTGTTTAGAGAAAAGATATTCTTTTCGATATCATAACCACATATTTCATTAATTGAAATTTAATACAATTACCCTGACAGGGTGTGTGGAAAGCCAGGCCAAAAGTCGGCAGCCAAACACACATAAATTCTCGTATGTTAGGGGAGAGATTCTTGGCCAAGTAAGTGACTCGATAAATAAATTTACTTGCCAACTTTTTCTGCTTTCGTCGTCGTCGTCCTCGCTGGCCTTGGGGGGCTGATTGTTGCTTTCTCAAGGTGGATTTGTAGATCTGAGGAATACTTGGGTCTCGTAATAAACAAGACTTGATCGGAGTACAGGGGGAGTTAAGTGTGCTTTACTGTGCCAACCGGAATATACATTTTTCATGGAATTTAACTAGATAAATGAGAATAAACTGACACATTCGTTCTAGGAAGTTTTCTTCCATTTTTTTTACTTCATGAAAGAATAAACAAGATAATTTTTTGGTTCGTTTAACTTTTTTGGCAACTCTGTTGAATCACAAAAGTGGAATTCGTTTGTTTTTAATTCTTAAAGCAAATTAAATTTAAAACCAAAATAATTGACAATCCGCAAGGTCATCAATCTTCTTTAGGGGAATCCCCTCCAACAGCCAGCAAACTCAAATCTCATTTAATTCCCAGACTTTTCACTTTACTTTCAGGAGGCTTTATACCCAGTAAATTATAGGCGGCTATATGTTGTGATCTTATCTCAAGGTGGCGGATAAGAGCAAGGCCTGAAGAACCAGAATTTGCACAGCATTAGCAGCAGAGAGGAGGATAAAAGCGCAGCTCTAGCATTTATTAAGTAAGTGAGCTATTCAAAATCAAAGCAGCAGAAAAATCCACAGCCCCCAAGTGGGTTGAGGCGGTCGAATGAATGAATGTGTCGCCTGATTGTCAGGCGAATGTCAAGCTCAAACTGCAGGGCGTGAAGTCTCAGCTTGCCAAGCAGAGCTCCTCCAGGTCCTTTGCCTTCCTTGTCTTCGGGTGTATCTGCTCCTGCACCTGGACCTGCAACAATGTGCAGACATTTATGGCACCAGATGCCGCCGGCAGCAGGCAAATGCCAAGACTTGAGTGGCATGGCAATGGCAAAATGGCAGCATGGCGGACTGATGGAATGGCAGAGTGACGAACCTGATGGTATGGCAGGGTATTCTAATACCAACGCCATGACATTCCCGTGGTGCGTTTGCCGGAGCTCTGAAAGCGCATTAGCTTTGTCATTTATCGCTGCATACTTTCCGGCGTCTTTGTTGCCAATTCCAAAGGACGAAAGCGGAAAGGAGGCTTAAAGTGGAATTTTTCAGAAGGAGTTGGAAGTTTCACTTAGTAAATAGAAAGGAATGTAATGTTTAATCGCATGTAAAATATATTTTTATTAGCTAATTTTAGGATGAGGGATTTCAAAAGGTATTTAAAATATTTAAACCCCATTTTATTTAACCTACTATTATTTTTCCATTTCAAATATAAACAACTGTTAAAAGTTTTCTCTTTTAAGCAATTTACCATTTTATCTTCTCCAACTTACTAAAACCTAACAAATTTCAAAAAGGAAACGAAAATAAGCCTTAGTCTTCAACCTTAATTTCATTTGAAAAGCATCGGCTTACGAAAACTTTAGGGTAACTCGATTTGCTTTCAGCCCTTTAACCCTTAACCCGCTGACATGTCACCCATATGTATACATAAATCTTTGATATGCATTCGAGGGCGGTCTTTTGTGTCGCCACCGCTGCTGATGATGTGCTGAGCTGTGCCACATACATTTTGCTTATCAGAGTGCCACTGACAGACGGGTCTCTGGTCTACGGAAAATGTCAAGGTTTCGCATGCTTCGTTAGCTGCATTTTCATAATGTATCAAGGCAATAGGCCTTGTCACCGGCACCGTAATTAAAGGCTTGAATTTTCAATTTTCAGGCATTCAAATTTATTTTATCTAGACAAAAGGACTCTCGTCCTGCCGGTCTGCCTGTCTGCCTGACAACCTCTGTGCATAAAAAGTGTGAACAGTTTTATTGTGTGGAAAATTTGCTGGCTCACATGTACACACACATCATGGGGGTGGGGGGTGTGTGTGTGTTTGGTTAGTACAACCAGCTAGTACCGACTCCCACCAAGCTGAAAATACGCTTGCATAATTTAAAAATGCCCGCATCACTCATACGCACTGGTGTACGAGCATTTCGTGCCAGGCGGCCAAGGTAACAATGAAAAGGTCGTAGCTTTTTTCGTTGTTGCCGAAGTTTGTCTACCAGTTTTTTGCTTCTAGTTTTTTATTTTTAGTTTCTCCATTGTTGGTCTTATATTTTTTTTTTGTCATTCGCCAGCTTAGCTTTTCGGAATTGGCGTGGGAATTTGTAGAAATATGACATTTTTTGTGGTTACTATATATTTTTTTCATAAAACTTTCGCCATGACAGTGATTCCAATAAACAAAATACAGCAGGTAATTGCCTTGGGTAAACCATGTCATATATTTATATCTTTTTAGGTTTGGACAGATTTAAAATTCAAATTTACACTTCAGATTGTTTATTTGAATTTAGCTTTAGGCCCTTGCCCTTTTTGGTCAGCTAATCCTCTTAAAAGCCATTTTTGGACAAAGCCCAATGCTTTTCAATTGCCTCTTCCAAATGCTTGACAATTAAAAAATCCCTCCACTCTTCATCCCACAAAAAAAAAGAAGGATAAGAGTGCAGGAATGAATGCAGCTGGCCATGAAAGAGCGTTAAAAAAGCGTTGCATGCAGAGGGCCGTTTTGTAGCCGAAACCTCCATGCCCCATCAAATATGCATGTAAAATGCCGCACAGCAGGCTGCATGGAGCAGTTCAACAATTTCGCCAGCGGACAAGGTCCTGCAAAAAAAAAAATAATTGAGAAAAAAATATAAATCTTAAATGCTCTGACATGTGTTCAACGAAAAGCTGGAATTTATAAAAAGAATTCAGGAGAAGAGTTTTTAAAACTATGAATTCTCTTGAGGATTAACTTACAGTTTGGTTTTTAAGCAGAAAATATTTTAAGGTTTAATATAAAATAGTTATTAACGATCTAGGTATATGATAAGGTGTATAAAACTTAACAACCACAACAACACCTTTTAAAAACCTTGACGACTCTTTTCACTCCCAGGTTTTAGTCTGAATTGTAAAAAAAATGGAAAAATAAATTCCCAACTCGACGGGTGGGTGAGTGGCTGGTTTTGGGGCTCTTTTGTAGGTGGTGAAGTGGTTTGAATTGGAGTGCCTTTGGCGCACCACTCTTGTATTTCTGTAGTTGCTTAGCAGCAAATTACTTGGCATGTCAATTTATGTTGATGACACGCTGACAAATGCTTCCATTCTAAATAGTTTTCGTGTTCCACAGCGGGTAGTCTTTATTCAAAAATTACGTTTATGGGTATTTCCAGGAATATTATTCTATGTATGATATGTAGATTTTGAAGGCCAAGAACCCAAAGCGGTAAATCAAAATATGTATATGCATTGCTTATGAGTAGACGAAAGGCGTAGTTCCTTATGATTTATAAGCCATTTCTCATGTTGCATGTTGGTGGGTTAGAAAATGTTATGGAAGTTTTAGTGATGGGTTACTTTTTTGTGGGGAATACAAGTACTTA